AGAATTCGCTAGAGAAATCAACATGTTAAATCTATGCATCCTCCTGTAGCTGTCACGTAAGCAGCTCGCTATGAGAAGGTTCTACTCCTTCAACAAAGGATATTTACATACTGTTATCAGACGTCTCCAAGGCCTATATACTATTGTGCATTTATACAAAATAGTCACATTCACTACATTTATAAGAGTTCTTGCTGATGATAAAGATACAACTTGGAACAGACACGGTTACACCTCTGAAGTGACAGGGACATGAAGGAAATACATAAGGAAGTGGGAGCCAAGCCTGAAAATGTTAAGGCACCCTCTGCTACTCCCCACCAGGTCAGCCATCTTTCTCTTTTCAACGGACATAAATAATGCAAGGGGTGTGCGTGTGTGTTTACACTAGAACATAGGGAAGAAGACGCATCTAAGTCTGCTTAAATAATAATGAAGATAAAAGCCTTACCCTGAAGCAATTGTGACATCAGGGGACTAAAGCTTTCCAAAGCTTACTATGCATAGCATATGTTGAACATGTTTTGAAGGGTCAAGTTCAAGGGGACACTTCCTACTATTGTTGCCTCATCATGACAGGAGATCTAAATAATCATCTCATTTTGGAAGTATGTGTCAAAGCAGAGACAAAGAACGGATATGAAAATGGCAGTGTTTGCACAGCCAGGCTCAGACACCAAGGAAATCACAAATTGCAGAAGGGGAGCAAGGGCAGAAGCATTTAGACAGTGAGGGTTGAAGGAGGTAAACAGGTGCCCCCCTTCTGTTTCTGTCCCTAAATGTCTCACAGTCTGGCTCTCACACTTCCTCTAGTGTCTTTTCATCATCAGCCATAATGACTGTGTGACAATATATTTCCTATAAAATGCTTCAAAAAGGTTCTGTTCTTGGGACCGCCTCTGTGCCCTCTGCTTAGCTGCATATGGAGATCCCTCCCAATGGTGCTTCACAATTCAAACCCGAGTTTATCTTTCTCTTCTTCATTTTCATTAAACCCTTTTTTATTACACTTCTCCATTTCTCTTACTGTGCAGAGAAATACAGACGTATCTGACTCCTAATTTTCTCTGCCCTGAATAAAATGACATTTCTTAGATGTTTACCGGTATCTTGTGAAACATATGCTTTTAAAATGACAAATATCTGGAGAAAATCTAATTACATAGACACAGAAAGAAACATGATCAATCTATTTGAATACTATTCCGTAAAACTCCCAGATAGCTTTGTATCATTGATGTCTCGCAGCTTCAACGGGAAAGCAAAATCAGAAAGGATTTTCACACAGTGCAGAGACCAAGAAGAACACAGAGGAGGTAGGTACATGAGTGACCGTAAGCAAAATATAATTCCTCTTTTGTAGGACTTTTAAAAAGTTACAGTTATGGGCTTTGGCTATCATACAAATGCTCACAGTTATTATAAGTCAATTTAAAATAAGTTATTTACTCCTTATTTGTTAGAAATAAAAGAAATCAGAAATGCTGGCACCAGAAAGAAGAAAATCAGAAGAAATAAACAGAAGCATATATTTTATCCTTATTGCAATGACAAGCGGAGGTCGTGTTATGTTTGAATGAGATTTCCATTCATGTGCTTGTTTCAATCTCTCACCTCTAGGATGCATGTAAAAACATTCAAAAGATAAGACTAAGCTGAGGATAAAGTTGATAGCATCCATTTTCTTATAGGAAGAAAAAAGACTACAGCAATTGTAGATTCATATACAGTCATGCGTCGCTTAACGACGGGCGCACGTTCTGAAAAATGCATCGTTTAGGCAACTTCGTCATTGTGGGAACATCATAGTGTGTACTCACACAAACCTAGATGGTATAGCCTACTACGCAGCTAGGCTATATGGTACTAATCTTATGGGACCACCGTCACATAGGCGGTCCATCATTGACTGAAAACATTGTTATGTGGCCCATGACTCTACATCTCCTTCCACTTTCTCAGCCTAAACACTGTGGCCTCACATTTAGGAATTTATAAACAGACACGCTAGGCTTCAGAATTCCTTTGGGTTTGTCTCCAGAGCGTTCAAAGAGGCTATAGAGGAAGTAGGGGAATATTTGATATCTCCCTTGCTTCAAGGACTCAGAAAATCCATTTGAATGGAAAAAAAGCTCCACTTTTGTTAGGGACATAATTAGTTCAGAGTGACCAGAACTCTCACACAAGACGCCCAAATTCAGAGAGCACTAGTCAAAGCCAAGGAAAAAAAAAAACCTGTTTAAGGCAGTGTAAAATTTTAAGCTTCTCAGCAAATTTCCACACCAGCTCTCTAGTCACAAGGCTACTGGTCCAACCCTAGAACCAGGCCAGCTTCCCTGGTAGGGGGCAGAGATAGGTAGCGCTGGAAAGTCAATGGCGAGGGCAGAGAAGTCTTTGACCGTTCGCATGCTGAGAGTTTGAGAGAAGGGTTATCTCCTCTTTTCCACTTGCCTCATCCTCTCCCTAGCACACAGTGGATTGAAGTTGCCAAAATTGCTAGTCATATTTAGTTACAGTTACTGCTGACTTTGTTACAGGCTTGACCTAAGTTGCTGGTGCCTCGGGGTTGTTTACCCATCTTTGAGGTGTGCCCATCAGAAGTCATATAACCTGAGAGGCGACCTCTACACTGGGACGATGAGGAAATACAAAGCACAGTACCGCTCTCAGTCCTTGTTCCTCCACGTACTTGTCCTCAAGCGCCCAGCAAAGTCCTTACAGCTTTGATCTTTGGAACGCCACAAACTCAGCAGATATTGCCTGATTTCAGAAAGTTTTTATACAACACAATAAGAATTTCCTAAAGTTTTCAGTGGACTATAACTTTTTTTTCTAAGTCCCTCCAAACTAGAATTTGTCAGTTAAAAATTTCACAAAGTCAGTATTTTTAAACACAAAAATTAAAACTATAGATGGCTGATTTTCCTACCAAAGAAATAAGAGGTTATATATAATAAAATTATGAAACTACCATAGTTGCCAACAAGAAGAAATATTATGGATATCCTTTCCATTTGGAATCATCTATAACCCTCCTGGAAAGCTTTTGACTAATTGAAGAATATTTTTGGTAAATTTAGAATCCTAGGATTTCTTCAGTTATTTTCCATGCAGGTTTTTAAGCCATGCTGTCCACCACTTCAGGTACAATTTATATCTAACCTAAGCAATGTTTTTAGCCAAGAGAAGGGTATGAGACATCACAAAGCCAAACACAGTGTACCGTCTGAACATCTGTCATTTTGGGTCATTTACTTCCTACCTTTGTTAAAATAGCTAAAAGGGAACTAAACAGAAATAACATCCAGACAGTGCTCTTTAACGTCTTGTGTTAACTGCAGTTTAGATGCACAATGCTGTATAAACTGTTGGTCAAATGCTCTATACAAAGCGTATGGGTCTAGTGTTCTCTTCCATATAAAAATCTTCCATATAAAAAATTTCTTTTCTTTCTTATAGAATGACTTAATCCTTCACCCATCTTAATTTTACTGAAGTGTAATTAAAATTAAACAGGCGCCATCCTTATTCATGATCTTTAGCATCAATGCAATTCTCAAACTGGAGCCAATAAAAATAAAAAGTTGCATCAGGTACTCATTTTCAGTCTCTTCACCCCCTGTTTTGCCCCACGGAGCAATCTAATTTTTGTTACTAAAAAGCAATTTAAAAATTACACCAGGGGCCAGCCCAGTGGTGTAGTTGTTAAGTTTGAGTGCTCTACTTCAGCAACCTGGGGTTTGCAGGTTCGGATCCCAGGTGCAGACCTACACACCACTCATCAAACTATGCTGTGGCAGTGTCCCACATACAAGATAGAGGAAGATTGGCAAAGATGTTAGCTCAGCAACAATCTTCCTCAAGCAAAAAGAGGAAGACTGGCAATAGATGTTAGCTCAGGGCCAATCTGCTTCACCAAAAAAAAAAAAAAAAAAGAAAAAGAAAAATTAGACTGATGTTAGAGTGTGATGCCCTCTCTTGGCAGATGCATTGAAAGTGATGAAATATCTTCTTATTCAATGTGTCTACCACAACCTGAATATCATCTGAGCTGAATCTTAAGGGTCAGTAATATTAAATTTGGCAAAGTATGAGGCCCAATTCTCAGGTCTTTTCAGATAAAATAAAATAATGGGAGTTTGGAATTCAACTTCTTTATAGTAACAGTGTAGTCCAGAGTACTCTGCAAGACAATTCTAGAGAGATCCTAACTTAGGAACACATATATTTCAATAAGAATAAAGATGGATAACTTCATGCGACACACGTACACACACACCATCTGTGTAACCACAGAAAAGGGAGTATGTATGGCACACCTGTGAGTTGTCACTACAAAATAATGTCAAACTATAATCTGCTCTAAGAAAACATTCTCATTAAATTGTAGTCATACTCATAACGACGTGAGCATGTATGTGTATCCTTAAATGAAGACAATGGGGGAACAATCAAAATTTCATTTTGGTCTAGTCCAGGGTTTCTTAACCTTGGCACCACTGACATTTTAGACTGGATAATTTTGTTGTGCAGGGGCTGACCCGTGCATTGTGGGATGTTCAGCAGGACCCCTGACCTCGACTCAGTAGATGCCAATAGCACCCTCCGAATCGTGACAATCAAAAGTGTCTCCAGACACTGCCAAATGCCACCAGGATCACCTCACTCGAGAAGCCCTGGTCATATGAAATATTATTAGTTGGGGCCATTTCTGTTCTGTCTTTCAGAAGCCACCAATTTACAGACTAAACATTGTACAAATCTATTGCATAAATCTAGACCAGAAATCATAACAAGATGTAAAATTTCCAGATAGCATTTTCAATAGAACTTGATACATGGGTTTTATGGGGCTCATTAATTACATTTTAACAGGGTACTAATGTGAGTGGCACATATTTTAACAATAGTTGTTTGTGTTTTTTGTTAGCCCTTTCACATTTCTGATGAAGTGTATAGGTAAAAATGCGTTCTTTTTAGGTAATTATTAAATAATAAAATAGCTCAAAAGAGGAAATATATTTAGGGTAGTACATACTGTGAATATTTAACGTAACTCACTCATAGTACATTCTCATTACATTTTTGCTGCTAGATGGGATCAAAATAGCGAATCAGTTCTGCACAGAATCGACACTCTCGATTTCTTAACTTTCAAAGCACCGATATAATCTATTACGTCAACCAGTCACATTTTAACTGCTGATTTCTTTAATAACCTCCATATTCAATTTCATTTAGACATTGTGCTTTACTTCATCTCTGAACATTGTTATGATGACCATTATGCCAATTTGCAAATAAATAATGCACTCACATTTGCAGTCTTTTTGCACTCAAATATAATAATAATGCAAACACAAGCTTTCATGATGCAGACCTAAAAATAGGTTTATGCCCTACATTCTCGGGAGGAGGGAGAGCGGCTCGTGTTAGCTGGACTATGAATCAACACAGTCTAAATTCAACAATGCTTCACACTGTCTACGTAGACTTGACAAAAGGGGAGGAAACCATTCTTATTTGACATTTAAAAAATGAGGGGGACTATAGTTAACATAGACTTGGTTCAACAAATCACAATAATCAGCTGGAGCGTTTTGTATCCTTATTACTCAGTCAGGGATTTTTTTTATCTACCTCATCACCCACTCACTGCCCCTAAATAGGGCAAAAATAAATAATAATTTTTTTTAAAACCTATGGTTCTAATGTCAGTCTTAGTAAGATAGGTTTTCTAATGAAGCCAGTTTGTGTTGATAGTCACTGACACTTGACCTGGCATCATGTCCTTATCGTACTTTGATTAGTTCCTCAGCTTCAGTGATTTGAGTTCCATCTTATTTTTGAACTGCACCTTCTAGATTTGAACCATGTAAATGTGCTTTACCAACATCTTTTCATCAGCATGTTCCTAGTTGCAAATCCACAGTGTGCTAAAAATATTTCATAGGACGTTTCATTTCTTATTTGTTCTCCAAGCCAACATTAAAAGTAGAATTTCCTCTGTTTTGTTCTGTTTTCTCCAAGTGGCCCATGCAAATCCATGAAATGACTTGACCATTTCCTTTTGGAGTCACGTAGAAAACCTAACAAAAATACCCTGGCTCAGTTCTTTCTGTTTGCATTTGCCCCTAGGAAGTGGGCTGGAGTGGGGGATCCTCACACGGGTCTAGCTGCATTCTCAGTGCACCAATTTTATGAAGATACCAGAGTTGGAGAAATTCCTCTGGCATAGCATGGAAGCCAGAAAAGGGCAAGACGTTGTCGTAGTAGTGGTGGCTGATCGGCTGCTCATGCATATTCACAGAGAAGGGCCAGAAGCCATAGATGGCCACGTCTTCACAGAGGCCCAGGGCTGCGCTCACCAGAAAGAGTCCTGTGGACAGGCGCTTGGCATGGATTCCCCTACTTTTCCAGAACTTTCCAATGCTACGCAGAAAGTTGGGGTTTGCAAAGAGCACCGTTTGATTGGCACCGACATCTGACAGTGTATAATACACCCGGAGGGATGGCTCTGTTCCCGTCTTCATAGAAAAGGCAGGCATGTAGATATAACTGTGGTTATAGATTTTCATGTTGTCCACAAACGTCTTTCTGGACCACAGCAAGTTCTGAAACCTATTAAAGAGAAAAAGGGGCTCAATTAAACCTGGAGAAAAGAAATTCATCAAAACTCACTCTACTGTTCTGACGGCCCTGATAGCTGACATCATTTCATCAAAAAACATGAAGAACACTTGTATTGACAATATTCTTTGAATTTACCAATTATCTCTCATCCAAGTAGCCTGGCTTCCCCCCATCCCAATATCTTAAACTCAGGTTAAGATTCCCTAATGGGATTCCCTATGAACTGAAGTGCTCTGGACATTTTGTTCTCTTGCAGAAGTTATTTGCCTGGAATGTGAAAATGGTTTAATAGTCATTAAATCACGAGGTTGTTGGTTTTTGGAAAAGATTTTGATAAACATTACTTTTGCAGTCTGACCTAAGCTCAAGACAGATTTCCTCAACTGCAAATGAAAGGAACCACTTCTAAAATACTTCTTCCCATGGAAATTCCACGATTCTCTAAGTATTCCGATTAATCAACGCTATATTATCACTATAATATTACATTGAAAAAGAAAGACTTGTTACCATTATAAGATGATGCTGAGAATTGCCCATACTGCTTGCTCCAAAGAACTCTACTTTTCTATGTTCTTGCAGTTTGGGTTACATAAAGAGAGGCTCTCTAGTTCAAAGGTATTCAACTCAAATTTATGGTATACATCCTATGTGTCAGGCATGGGGAATTTAAAAATTTAATGGCCCAATTTTTCATCTCAAAAAATTCAAGTCCAATTGTGAAAACAAAAATATAAACAAGTACAACGTAATGTTCTAAATGCAACAATTGATATTTGCGTAAAGCACTATGGAATACAGATGAAAAAAAGTAAGTAATTCTGCCTTGGGAGAGGGAGTGGGATCCAAGAAAGTGACAAAGAGGGGATGACATTTAAACACACCTTGTTAGGGGAACAACAGGAAAGACAGCAACTAATCTAGAAGGATCACTGGTCATAGGCGAGGGTGCACAGCGTGCAGAAACAACGAGGATTCATTGTCGCTGGGATGTGCGAGGAGGGAATGGTGGAGGCAGTGTTCGAAGACGAAGCGTGCTATGAAAAACCTTCTATGTCTCTAATTTGTTTGGACTTCTCTCTGTGGTGACGGGGAACCTGCACAGCAGTACTTAGAGTACTTACTATTTGGATTACAAATATTTGATCACTTGTTTAGTTGTCAGTTTGTGTCAAAAAAGGGAACTCTGGTAGTTTAGAAGGTGATCTAGAGAAGTTAAGAAGTTGCTGACGTAGCTCAAGTGAAAAAGGGAAAAAGGGGCCAGCCTGGTGGTGCAGCGGTTAAGTGCGCATGTTCTGCTTCTGCGGCCAGGGATTTGCCGGTTCAGATCCCGGGTGTGGACACGGCACCACTTGGCAAGCCATGCTGTGGTAGGCGTCCCACACATAAAACAGAGGAAGATGGGCACGGATGTTAGCTCAGGGCCAATCTTCCTCAGGAAAAAAAAAAGAGAGAGAGAGAAAAAGACTAGTGCTTTACAACTTTGTGTTCTTTCACACAATAGGAGCTGCCCATCTCAGGTTATATGCAGGTGAGGTAGCAGCATCTAAGAATGGAACTGAGCCACAACCAGCAGAGGGAAGTCTGGCCTGACATGTTGGCAGGGCTCATTATAAACATGCGAAACTAAAATTCTGAATAAACAAAGCCAGAGGATTTTATGCAGCAATCAGTGTTATTAACTCTGCCTGCCAAGAAAGGGGTCTTTCTCAAGCCCAAAGGAAGGGAAATCTCAAGTTCTTTTTCATGTCCTTGATCTATCAGCCTGACTTAGCAATTTCCTCTGGGCCCCGACAAATCGAGAAGCGATAAAACAAGGTTTTCAGGTAGAATCACTATCCTAGGAGAAGCCATGGAAGCACATTTCACCATATTCTGGAGCTGGGCCGGCCTCTCCAACACAAATTCCTGCTTCCCAACTTCAATAAGATCTGCTTGGTATTCTTTTATTCTCTTCCTTGCCCACCCATATCTTCTGCTCTCTTCCTAATGCACTAATGCTTTTGCAACCACGTACACACACCCTACAGATAAGCTCCCACTTCATGTGAACCGTGGTTCTCAAACTTCGGTCAGAGTAACCTGATATCACAGGTTCCTGGGTTCTGATGAGAGTAATCCAGGAGCTGAATTCTTATCCAGTACTCGCTGGTGACTCTAATGCAGATGTCCAGGAGATATACTTATGCGGAAGATCACAGCTATCTGCCTCTCTGCGTCTATCCCTCAACATCTCTTTCTTTGTATCTTCTTATTTTATTCTTGCTGCCATCCTAAGAGGAAGAAGTGCTCCCTCCTCTCCTCTGTGTCTTGGAACACGCTGTTTCACGTTTTCTAAAGAACTCATGTTCTAAAGTGGGTCTCTCCTCTTTAAAACATTCAACCTCGCCATCTCCACTGAATTATTCCCTTCTGTCTTTTAAACGTGGTTAGAACTTAATAAGAGAAAATTCATCATATGCTCATATTGTTCCAAAAGTTACATTCTAGTTCTTTCATTTCACCATCAACTTCTAGAGTCTAATTTGCATACTTTTTTTTTCTTTTGGGGTGAGGAAGATTGGCCCAGAGCCAACATCTGTTGCCAATCTTTCTCTTTTTCCAAAGGAGTATTATCCCTGAGCTAACATCTGTGCCAATCTTCCTCTGTTTTTTTGTATGTGGGATGCTGCCACAGAATGGCTTGATGAGTGGTGTGTAGATCCACACCTGGGATCTGAACCCATGAACCCCAGGGCCGCTGACATGGAGTGTGGGAACTTAACCACTATGCCACCCGGCCAGCTCCTAAGTGGTATACTTCTACTGCTCTCCTCTCTTGCTTCCATTCCCTTCTTATTGCTGTGCACAATAGCTCCTGTTCCACAGGGCTCTGCTGGCTGATGGAACGTATCTCCATTTCTGTAGTGAACTACATACTAATGAGAATTACAGACAAGTCCAATAAAATCAGGGCCACCGATTTTGTGTTCTCTGTCTTAAAGCTGACTGATTATTCTTGAAAGGAGGTAGTCTTCCTTTCTTGAGTTTTAACTTCGAAAAGGAACACACATCTTGAATTTACTATAGTCTTAATTTTATTAACACTGTTAAAGAACCAGCCAATATATTACATTTTACTATTTTTATCTATCCTATTCTTCAACAAATGACATTACTTAAGAACTCAATTCAATTCAATAATATTCATGGCATATCTAATATCTCTAATGTTATCCTGATCAAGAGTTTAATAGGAGTGGTTTTGAATTTTACTAAATTATTACAAAATGCAACTGGAATTATAAAAGAGAGGCGGATCCAGCTTATCTCTCCAGTATATCTCCCCAGCTTCATACTCAGCTACTCTCTATTGCCCTCATCCTATGCTCCAGCCATTTCTGTGTGTGCACCTGTCCACATCCTTCAGCATATATAGTTTCCTTTTTGCTCATCCCTTCATTGCTCTGGTGAAGTCCTGCCGATACATCCAGACTCAACTTAAGCTTGTCCTTCTAAAGCTTATTCCTTCTTTCCAACTTAAGCTTTCAAAAGAGTCTTCTTGGAACTCCTCAACATGAACTGATCATACTCTCCAAGACCGTGTACTTCTTGAAGACAAGGGACAAGTCTTATTTATCTTTTAATTTTTATAACCTAGCTCAGAATAGTTGTATACCATATGAATGGAAAACTATTAAATAATAATTGAAAAAGAAGAAAAATGAAAACAGAAGAGCCCATGAATTATTAAAAATAGAAATGACTGGGCTGGCCTGTTGGCATAGTGGTTAACTTCACGCACTCTCCTTCAGTGGCCCGGGGTTCCAGGTTCAGATCCCAGGTATGGACCTGCGCACCACTTATCAGGCCATGCTGTGGTAGGTGTCCTGCATATAAAGTAGAGGAAGATGGGCACAGTGTAGCTCAGGACTAATCTTCCTCAAAAAAAAAAAGAAAGAAAATAGAAATGATTAATATATAATGAATATAGACATGAAATAGAAAGAATATATCAATAGAAAGGGCAGAAAGCACAGAAATACAGCACATTTTACAAATTAATTCCAAACATAACAATATAGAGAAAACTGATGAAATTTTAAAAATTAGTTAATAAATGATATCAAGATAACTAGTTAACAATTTGGAAATTTAAAGGGGAATAGATTCATACTTGACAAGAAAATTACAAAATAATTTCAAGATAAGTAAGATAAATATTTACATTCTGCATTACAAGAAAAACTAAACAAAATGAGTGTGTGAACTTAGACATTTGCAAAATATCTTTCTATGAAGGAAAGTATTGACAAAATTGATCGTGTCAAGACGTGAAATTTCATTACCATGAAAAATAATTAAGCTAAAATAAAAAGGGAATGACTCTGAAAAATATTTTCAGGAAATATGACAAATAGAAGATTAATATTGATAACATCATAGAGTCTAAATATATTGATATGAAATATGACAAAAACACAATCTACAAGAAATTGCAATTAATAAAATTGTTAAAATGTTCAGTTTCAGGTTGCTAGTTAAGATGCAAACTGAATAGAATCAGGACAGGTAACGGTCTAGCTTTTCCCTCCTATAGCAAATCTCTAGAAATGAGAGAAAAGATGTATTTAAAAATCTACATCCAGCCTCAAAAAAGAAAAGAAGGTAAATTCTCAGTGAATCCCCAAATCTGAGCTACCTCTGAAAACAGACAGCTTACAGAAGGAAACCAGAGGATAAACTAACTTGCCGGGCATTGCTCTAAAAGGTAGCAGTGCCCGAGGCCCAAAGGCAGGAGATCCCGGAGAAGGTGGGTGTCTTGGAACGATCAACAGGTTATTGTTCAGATCATGGGGCAGCAGGGACATCCAGGTGGGTTGAACCCTAAAATCCTGCACTGGTCAGTTATCACTGTGTGTCTGTCGGGGGGAGGGGTGTCAGCCTCTCGGGAGGATCAGTGGCTATGTGCCCAGACCTGGCCAAGCCCATGGGAAACTGGGGATTCT